GTATCCCCCCGGTGGAGCCGGGTCCTTCGTTGGATTGCTCAGTTGATTTCGACATTCCGAAATGGGTATGAGTTAATCAGGAAACATATCAACATTTATTCTACNGGTGTTAGGTAATGTATATATGTGTCAGCTGATTGTGGATGGTGTTGTTACATTCCTATTGGTCTCTTTCTTTACAGGTATTGCTGTCGGACATGTGTATTACTTTTTGGAAGATGTATTTCCTAAACAGAAAGGAGGATTTAAATTATTAAAAACACCAGGATTTTTGTAAGTAAACACCAGACATATATGTTGGTTTAGCAATGTTGTTTTTGTACCTTGGATATATATCCAGCTTGAGTGAACTATTTATGTGTAAAGTAATGCTCATCTTTCAAATGATACACCTACTTTCTGATGTCAGGCATGTTCCTGAGGATACAGACTCTGGATAAAAATTGAAAATTTTGATAGTCCCAAACTTTGAGATTGTTTGCATAACAAATCAATTTATTATCTTAAAATTCGGATATAGAATATTTCATGTATTTCTTGATTACCAAAAAGGACATACAATTTTCTAAAAAGAATTCAGTTACAAAGACATACATGTCTGATACCCGGTACAGAAAATATTGGTATGTAGTGGTTACAAACCAAAAACTATTTTTTTTATTGAAAATCCATTTTGATTTTTCCAACAAATATTTCTTTTACAGGAAATATATTTTGGAAGGAGCAGCTGATGACCCAAATTACAACCCACTCCCAGAAGACCGACCTGGAGGATTTAACTGGGGAGAGGGTCAGGCTGCAGGGAACAGAGACCAGCCTAACCAGGGCTAACGAACACCTATTTATCTATAAATCTATTGGTCTTATTCCGCAAACTCGTCACAGTAACCAGGCTGTTTTACCGAGGATCAGTCCGTGACTGTGAACTACGGGTAGATATTTTGTCTGAATAAACACAGAAAATCTGCTGTTGCACTTATTGTTATAACAGAATGGTTGAAGGTAATAGGAGATAACTATGATTTAAGGTATGTATTCTCCAGAGTTTTTGACAATATAAGCAGGGTTATGAAATACCTGGGGAGAATTGATCCTATAAAGCTTCAAACTTGTCCTCCCCATGTATACCATGTACCAATTACCCAATAATTCTATATTTATTTACTCAAACATATTTTATAAATATCTATCAAAGGGATTAGGCCCAAGTCCTCACAACTTACTAAGCCGTCTCCTCCTCATGATATATATGTTTGTCATATTCTTAGAGGAGTTCAGTAACTGTTGAATGGGAGTAGTGGCTGTTCTATTTAGGGGCTACTTCAGTATTGAATGGGAGTAGTGGCTGTTCTATTTAGGGGCTACTTCAGTATTGAATGGGAGTAGTGGCTGTTCTATTTAGGGGCTACTTCAGTATTGAATGGGAGTAGTGGCTGTTCTATTTAGGGGCTACTTCAGTATTGAATGGGAGTAGTGGCTGTTCTATTTAGGGGCTACTTCAGTATTGAATGGGAGTAGTGGCTGTTCTATTTAGGGGCTACTTCAGTATTGAATGGGAGTAGTGGCTGTTCTATTTAGGGGCTACTTCAGTATTGAATGGGAGTAGTGGCTGTTCTATTTAGGGGCTACTTCAGTATTGAATGGGAGTAGTGGCTGTTCTATTTAGGGGCTACTTCAGTATTGAATGGGAGTAGTGGCTGTTCTATTTAGGGGCTACTTCAGTATTGAATGGGAGTAGTGGCTGTTCTATTTAGGGGCTACTTCAGTATTGAATGGGAGTAGTGGCTGTTCTATTTAGGGGCTACTTCAGTATTGAATGGGAGTAGTGGCTGTTCTATTTAGAGGCTACTTCAGTATTGAATGGGAGTAGTGGCTGTTCTATTTAGAGGCTACTTCAGATTGGAGGGGAAAACAGTCACAAAGGTATCGGTTGTATATAATGAAAAAATCTGTTTCATCAACATCCCTACACCATTTTGTCTGCCACATTTCCCTCCTATACAGCTGAACTAAGGAACGGTCCTGATTTATTTGTGATTCTCATTAAGTGTTTATGTGGGAATTGTTTGTCGTTATGGATATTGTTCAGAAATGTTCTTGCTTTAACTTTGTGAACTGTTAATCATTTCAAAATTTTAATAACTTTTTATGACTTTAAAGTGTTTTATGAGCATGTTGAAATATTTTGTCAAAAAATTATCCTATAGCAGTTGCTGTTGTGAAATACGTTTGGGAATTTCAGTGGTTGCTTAACTCATTCACCCCTAATGTCAAATTTGAACCATTCCAAATCAATGACTGGGTAAGTCCAGATTAGATATGTAGGGGTGAATAAGTTAATTGATTCACAGCTGTAATTAACTAAACATCATTATGTCTTTAATGTGTCTATGTTATATTTTTTTCCAGTGTCTTATATGTGTTACTATGGAGGATATATTTGGCAGTACTATTGTCAACTTTCACTACTGAAAAATCCATTGACATGACAACAACTCAGATCTTAAAATTTTTCCAGTAAATCAAAAAAGCCATAGAAATGGTGTAGAATGGATATAAATCTGGACAGTATGTGAATTCATGGCTGTTTGTTTTGGTTTATTCAGATCTTTTATATCGGAATGCGATATTTGTTTAAAGTGTCTTCAAATATAAAGGTGTTTGTGGTTTCCTTATATTGTATTTTGTGCAATAAGATTAGAAAATGGGTTTTCAGTTTTTGATTCACAAGTGTGTGGTGTCGAAAAAACAAAATTTCCACTTTCTTTTATTGTTGTCAAGTTGTCAATGGTGTCTTCAATTTTTCAGATTTCTTGTTTTATATATTTGAATTAATTGGTCGCCTCGCACATTTACGAAGGAAATAGAGAAATACTGCAGTTGTCATTTCCAAATGTTTTGTTGTCATTCATCTTATCAGGATAATGATATGCCGATACTAAGTAGGAAGTGAATGTATTCGTGCTCATTGTTCAATATTTTTATTTCTACATTGTATATAACAAATCCTTTACATTTCTTAGCTTCACCTTATTGTCAAGCAATTGCAGTTAGGTAATCATGGTTACGGTCGTCAACACTCATGTGATTATGTTAATTTACCCCCAGTTTGTCTTAGCAACAGATATGGTCATTTAGAGATTAGGTCAATACCAAGGTCACTGATACTATTTATAGGTTAATCACCGCTAATTTGTAACAGATTCATTGTCATTAACTTCAAGGGCAAAGGGCCATACATGTGTTTAAGTCATTTTTCTAGTTTCGTAAGAAATCATTTTGATATTGGCATAGCTAGAAAGTATTTAAGCACATATTAACACTAGTTATATTCCTGCCACTTTTTGATGTTTTAAAAGTACTTGTTACACAATGGACGGGTTATGGTTTTCACTCACTGGTTGATCACCATATGCTTTGTGTTCGGTCTCATATATCTTCATTTAAAATGTTGTAAACAGGTTGTTTGATTACTGGAAATGAATTGAATATTCAGTATCATCTACTAGTACACTAGTCGTAAATTTCAATATCCTGATAATGAAGTCTATTAATCTGAAAGTGCCTGTCTTTTAGGTTACAGAACACCATTCTGTCGGGATCCTTGAAATTCCAGTGGTACCGCTCACTTACATTCTCTACACCCCTCGAATATGTCATGACAAAATTGAAGGCACAAAGTTAGTGATTTGATTGGTTTCATTTGTAAAAACATGACCAAGCACAATGCTGATGCTGTCCTTTGAAGCTTACAAAGGCGATACATCCAAATTCAAAGCCAGTCAACTTACAATTTATCCTGCTGGGTGATTCTATAGATATTTATGTGACTACAAGACTACACATGAATTTCACTCCAGCCAGCTACAATAAACATATATTAGATGTTGGTTTTTACACATTTGTCCTCTATTGTCATCTAAAAAGTATTTGAAGTAAGCATAGAACACGAAAGTTTGATAGCATCTGTATATACGTACAATATATAAGGATTTTCTTCAAACGTCATACAATGCTAAAACATTCGAGAATTGATTGAAAAGATTGAAAATCAAATAGTCCTATTTCATGTCTGTAAGAAATTGTGTGTAATAATGTTTTTATTGCAATATTTTATGAAAATATAATAAAGTTTGATGACCGAGAATATGTGTTTCTTGTGATTACACACCCAGACAAACGTATTGAGGTTTGTTCCCATACATGAGATTGTCTACATCATATTCATATGTAGCCATTCACATAGTACTTACCAGACAAACATTACGATGAATCTATCTTTGACCCTGTGATTCTATGTTCAGCCATGAGCATTTAGATATGGACCCCTTGCCTCAACCCTTTCACCACTGTACACGATAATGGACTGGTGTTAAAGATGCACATTGTTTAGGTTGCCTTACAAGTGTTGGATGTAGGGAATTTCCCTTTAGCTCAGTGTTAAAGCATCGGGCTGGAGAGCCAAGGGTCGCGGGTCCGAGCCCCAGCGACGGAGCTATTTTTATCACTATTCCTTGTCCTACTACACTCATCCAGATCAGTGCATGATAGAGTCTTCTAAAGTTACAAAGGGGTGAAAGGATTAACCTTTTAGGACACAGATAGTGGGTATCACTGACGTGTTGTCTCGGGATCCCTGTACCACAAACATTGTAACTATGCACTAGAAATTTAGCCGGCATAGCTATGGGTTTGGTAGATCAATTATGATAAAAAATTATCTTGCGGCACTCATATATATATGGCAACAAGAGTACCGCAGGGCGGAACAAAATATGCCCGTCGAATGCCATATAGTGTTATATACTTTCTTACATTGAAATAAGATCTGCATCATTCTAAGAGTGGTTAGCTGATATGCTATAAAAAATGTAGTAGAAAATCTTCTGACAAAAAATCAAATACTGAAATGAACAAAAGGCAATAAATTTTGCAAAAATCGTCGAGTCAAAATTCTTTTAAGGGAGACACAACTTCATATCATAATTATAATGTATACCAAGTTTCAAAGAGATCAGTCGAAAAATGTAGCAGGGGATTGCCGGAGAAACAAAGTTTACGCCGGACAGACGGACAACGCCATACCATAATACTACCGTCAACTTTGGCGGTCATATAAAAATAGAGAAGAAATAAACAAAAAAACAATCATCAATGGTTTTCTGATTGTAAAAGTTTAGTGAAACTAGACTGTGATTTGAATAATTTGAGGTTCTTTATATTTACCGCTTTATCACAACTTAGCTCGTAGGTCATCTTAAAGCGGTTCACAAATTATTATCTGTGGTTATTATGAGGGCCTTTGCAACCAGCCAACATCTTTTTAACTCCCTGGGGAGCATACAGCCTGTGCTGCCATTTCGGCGGTCACAGCTAGCATTTAAACATTCTAGCACTGTCTAACCATGTAGTCATTTTACAGCTGAGTAGACTGGAAGAAGCAGAGTTAAGTATCTTGCTCAAAAATACAACCCAGTGCCATGGTGTGACTCCAACCTGCAACCCTTCAGTCAAGAGTCCGGCAACCTACCACTAGCTACCATGCCTCTTGAAGCCTTGACTTCGCTCTAACCGAACAAGTCTTACATTAGATATCCACAGCCTATATATAACAAATCTTACATCAGATACCTACAGCCTATATATAACAAATCTTACATCAGATACCGTCTTACATTAGATAGCCACAGCCTATATATGACAAATCTTACATCAGATACCGTCTTACATTAGATATCCCCAGCCTATATATAACAAATCTTACACCAGATACCTACAGCCTACATATAACAAACCTTATATCAAATACCCACAGACCATATATAACAAACCTTACATCAGATACCCACAGCCTATATATAACCAACCTTACACCAGATACCCACAGACCATTTATAACAAACCTTACACCAGATACCCAGACCATATATAACAAACCTTACACCAGATACCCACAGACTATATATATAACCAACCTTACATCAGATACCCACAGCCTATATATAACAAACCTTACATCAGATACCCACAGACTATATATAACAAACCTTATACCAGATACCCACAGACTATATATAACCAACCTTACATCAGATACCCACAGCCTAAATATAACAAACCTTATATCAGATACCCACAGCCTATATATAACAAACCTTATATCAGATACCCACAGACCATATATATAACCAACCTTACATCAGATACCCACAGCCTATATATAACAAACCTTACATCAGATACCCACAGACTATATATAACAAACCTTACATCAGATACCCACAGCCTATATATAAGAGACCTTACATCAGATACCCACAGACTATACATAACAAACCTTACATCAGATACCCACAGCCTATATATAAGAGACCTTACATCAGATACCCACAGCCTATATATAACAGACCTTACATCAGATACCCACAGCCTATATATAACAAACCTTACATCTGATACCCACAGCCTATATATAACAAACCTCCCCCCAGATACCCACAGACTATATATAACAAACCTTCCATCAGATACCCACAGACTATATATAACAAACCTTATACCAGATACCCACAGACTATATATAACCAACTTTACATCAGATACCCACAGACTATATATAACAAACCTTCCATCAGATACCCACAGCCTATATATAAGAGCCCTTACATCAGATACCCACAGACTATACATAACAAACCTTACATCAGATACCCACAGACAATATATAACAAACCTTACATCAGATACCAACAGACCATATATAACAAACCTTACATCAGATACCCACAGACAATATATAACAAACCTTACATCAGATACCCACAGACAATATATAACAAACCTTACATCAGATACCCACAGACAATATATAACAATCCTTACATCAGATACCCACAGCCTATATATAACAAACCTTATATCAGATACCCACAGACTATATATAACAATCCTTACATCAGATACCCACAGCCTATATATAACAAACCTTATATCAGATACCCACAGACTATATATAACAATCCTTACATCAGATACCCTCAGCCTATATATAAGAGACCTTACATCAGATCCCCACAGCCTATATATAACAAACCTTACACCAGATACCCACAGACTATATTTAACAAACCTTACACCAGATACCCACAGACTATATATATAACCAACCTTACACAAGATACCCACAGACCATATATAACAAACCTTACATCAGATACCCCCAGCCTATATATAACAAACCTTACATCAGATAACCACAGCCTATATATAACAAACCTTACATCAGATAACCACAGCCTATATATAACAAACCTTACATCAGATAACCACAGCCTATATATAACAAACCTTACATCTGATACCCACAGCCTATATATAACAAACCTCCCCCCAGATACCCACAGACTATATATAACAAACCTTCCATCAGATACCCACAGCCTATATATAAGAAACCTTACATCAGATACCCACAGCCTATACATAACAAACCTTACATCAGATCCCCACAGCCTATATATAACAAACCTTACATCAGATACCCACAGACAATATATAACAATCCTTACATCAGATACCCTCAGCCTATATATAAGAGACCTTACATCAGATCCCCACAGCCTATATATAACAAACCTTACATCAGATACCCACAGACAGTAATTTAGTAGTTCTCCGTTGGACACTTTCGAGTAGTTCAATATCCTGTTGTTTGTATGGTTCCCATACATATGCTCCGTTCTTCTGATGGCTCCAAGTATGGTTTGCTTTGTTTACTGTGGCTTATATATGATTTCTCAAACTTAATTTACTGTCCACAGTTATCCTCAGGTCTTTCTCTTCCATTTCCTCAGTTAGCGTTACTGTTGTTCTCAGACCAAAAAAACAACATCTTGGTATAAATGCAGATCATTTCAACTTTTCTTCTTTCCCAAACACATTGTTTTACATTCATCCAGATGGGATTTTAGCAACCAGTTATCTGTCTAGGCCCTACATCATTCTATCTAAGGTACAGTACTTACTGGCCAAAATCAGGACCCCGAGTTTTTCAGTTCTCAAGGAACTGTTCAAAGACAAAAGTTTACAGACAGATGCTCCACTATATCGTAAGTTCACAAGAACTTTGTGCCGGACGAACTAACAAAATTGACAGCAAGCAAGCTAACACTACTGTGTGAATATCATTAACATGCACTGTAAGGATCTTTAGGATTTAAACATATTTTACTTGTTGGACACACAAAGTTTGTCAACCTCATTTATTTGAGAAAGTTATCCGTTTTCCCAGCAAGCTACAGGTCAAACTTCACCACTCTAGCTACAGGCCTTAAGGACCTTTAGAGGGGGTAATTTCAATTATTTCATACACTTGAACCCTTTAATCAAGACAGTTCGTCAAGGTCATATAAACAAATTGCATAACCCTACACATCAGCAAGCTGTGGGCCAAATACTACTTCTAAGACCTTATAGATCTTTAGAAGTCATAAAAAGATTTTAACAACTTCAATTTGACACCCATGACCTTGAAAGTAAATCAAGTTTAAATACCTTTTGCCATGCAGGATACATGTCAAATATCATTACCCTCTGGCTATACGGAAGTTGTTTTTAAGTTTTTGACACATTTGACCTATTTGGCTTAGATGGTTCTTTTACAAAATTTGAGAGGCCTTCACATACCCAAGATCATATCTCCTCTTCGATATTCAAAGATGTTGAAAGGTTAAACTTATTTGACCCCTGTACATTCATATGACCAAACTGTGTAGTCCTTAATTTCAACATGCTGCTGGTCAAATGCATGTTCAAAAGAAGGTATATTGCACTTAACACTCCCCCACCTCCCCCCAAAAAAACACCATAAAAAGGTGGCCCATATAGGCTTTATACAATCATACCAGATAACAAAAAAACTCACAACTCTAGGCCTTACAGTCATGGATATAAACCAAAATAACAGTAGTCCTCCGTCTCTTCTAGCTGCAGAAACTCACAACTCTAGGCCTTACAGTTAGGGATATAAACCAAAATTGACACGTTTTTTCAACAAAACAAATTTCAGTATTTTACTCATTATTTGCGACACAAAGAAGAAAAATGTTTAAAGACGAAGAACCAATTGACACCGCCGTTCTGGGTAAACTCCCTTAGCCATTCACACCAAACAAGCTAAGGACAAATTTTGTATATTTTTCAGTCTTGCACGGTGGATAAAAAACAACGACACAAAACATACCACATTTTCTTTTAATATTGTTCTCAAAGCTGTGTTACACAAACTGCCCAATAGTTTCGTCTGATGTAATGTGTAAACTGGGATCCCTGAAAACAAAAACGTTGTTCAAAGTTTTATCTAAAATTCTTTCTATGAACAACAGATAGTGGATACAACATGAAGTGGCATATAAACCAACATATATAGTTAGTATATAAAACAGTTAACATCTGATATACACACTTCTCAACCTTGTTTGATTCAGAGGATCAATTTAGAAATTATGTTATATATCTGTATTATAAGCCTATTGCATATTTTTTTCCAAAGCAATTAGTTATAATTCAAGTGAAATGAAATAATTACTAAGTGGATCACAAGACGTACTAAAATAATTCTTGATTGAATTTTCGCAAAAAAAAAATTAGAATAAAATAAGAAGCAGCCTAAGCCAGCATGATTTTTACAGAAATTTTACATGTTTTCCCTACCCATAATAATATCAACTTGAAAAGTCAACATAGTCAGGCGAAATCTTACTTGCTTACAATGGTATTGACAAATTATTTTTAATATTTATTTAGAAATTACATCTCTTTACTCAAATTTTTAAATAAATAATCAGTTCAAGTGGACTAAAATCCTTAAGTTCCATATCAGTAGAAAAAATTAACTTTTAACCGAATTGATGATCGTAAAATCAATACCGTGATCACTTGCTAATGGGATCTACCTGTTGTTACATTTAACAGTCGTATGTTGTAGCTGAGCTATTTGATAGGAGTCCTTCCGTACTCACTTGCTAATAGGATCTACCTGTTGTAACATTTAACAGTCATATGTTGTAGCCGAGCTATTTGATAGTAGTCCTTCCGTACTCACTTGCTAATGGGATCTACCTGTTGTAACATGTAACAGTCGTATGTTGTAGCTGAGCTATTTGATAGGAGTCCTTCCGTACTCACTTGCTAATAGGATCTACCTGTTGTAACATTTAACAGTCATATGTTGTAACCGAGCTATTGGATAGAAGTCCTTCCGTACTCACTTGCTAATAGGATCTACCTGTTGTAACATGTAACAGTCATATGTTGTAGCCGAGCTATTTGATAGGAGTCCTTCCGTACTCACTTGCTAATGGGATCTACCTGTTGTTACATTTAAGATTCGTATGTTGTAGCCGAGCTATTTGATAGGAGTCCTTCCGTACTCACTTGCTAATGGGATCTACCTGTTGTTACATTTAACATTCGTATGTTGTAGCCGAGCTATTTCATAGGAGTCCTTCTGTACTCACTTGCTAATGGGATCTACCTGTTGTTACATTTAACATTCGTATGTTGTAGCCGAGCTATTTGATAGGAGTCCTTCTGTACTCACTTGCTAATGGGATCTACCTGTTGTAATATTTAACAGTCGTATGTTGTAGCTGAGCTATTGGATAGAAGTCCTTCCGTTCTCACTTGCTAATGGGATCTACCTGTTGTAACATTTAACAGTCGTATGTTGTAGCTGAGCTATTGGATAGAAGTCATTCCGTACTCACTTGCTAATGGGATCTACCTGTTATAACCTTTAACAGTCATATGCTATATAGTAGACCTATTAAATTCAGGATAGATATTGAGTGTGCTTCGTTTTTAGAAAAGGTTAGTTATCAAATACAACAAACGTGTCCATATGATCACAGTACTTTAAATATGCTGAAATTGTTTTTATCGAATATATTGTCTTGGATTTTCTATTTATTTTAACAAAATGATTTGCTCTTTCTCACAGCATACTAGTTATATTTAGGCTATGTACAAACAACATACAACTCAATTTCAAGCGCACACCAATCTTCAGACCAATCTCAGGACAGGAAAGTATACTGGTTCATTCTACATGTTCTACAGTCAGCGAGATCATCATTCACTACTGTAGAATCTGAAGTAGGATCAGAGTCAATCAAGCTCATAAACAAAAACACAATTAACATATAAATCCTCTACGAAATCAAGTATCAATGGAATTATTATTAATCACAAAATGCGGAGTGTCCTGTTGTAATACCTGCGACACACGGAGTACATGTTTTACACCAAAGTATCTCCTACAAGCTGTCCCTCCTCAGCTTCTAATACTGCCATAGTGATTGTGACCGGTGTTCAATTCAAAAAAAACATTGCACTAATCTAGATTCTTCACTTCACAGTAAAAACAAAACTCCTCAAAATAAAAACATGTATGCTTTAATACAAATCAGTCTCTATTGGTAGTGTGTGCCAATAACGTTTGAACTTGCCATCGTACCATATTCCAGTGGTTTGTTCCTAAGGAAAGATTTGAGGTTCTCAAATGTTTTACACAGACAAATCCATCATTCTTAGTAGTAGTGGTAAGTTGTCTTGTCGTAAGTTTGTTTTTCAGTTTTGAAGTGTTAACAGCCAATCTTTTAAAATTATGATCGTAGATATATTGAAATTACAGCGTCAACAGATGCAAAACATTTGGTGCAAAGGGCCAATGGAGTGTTATACATTCAGGAACAACAAAACATCACAAAAGGATAGGTAAAAACAATTTTGTGCATTTACTTTTACTTTTCATTTTTTTGCCAAATAGTATTAGATTTTTGGAGAGAAAAGAATTTAACATTGAATGGATGAATCCATTTTTCACCTGTATTGGATCGATCTTAATGAAGAAAATATATCACCAAATGTTCTTGTTTAGATTAATTATACCAGGGCTCAAGTAAGTAACCTTTACTTATTTAACCCTTTCACCACTGTAAACCATAATGGACTCAGCAAGTTAAATGCATGGTAGAGTCTACTTAAGTAACATAGGGGTGAATGGGTTAATATCAGAGGTCCATTACTTGCTCAAGTAAATGTAGGAACACAATTGAACCGATATTGCATATAATAGTATTGTATATCCAATAAGGTTTTCCAGATGAAACATTACTTCAACCTCCTAATGGGAAATAAAAGATAGCAGTAATGATTTGCAACTTTTTTTAATATTTTGTTCAACAATCTGATGATCTTACAAATCCTCACTTAATTATGACAGTTCTATCTAGAAAAGTTAAATATTAAGAACATTCTAGTAAAAATCAGTTCCAAACAAGTCCAATTACAAGCTTCCTCTACAGATTATTTATTCTTGAAAAAAAAAGGCCACAGTGATCTGCTGTAATTCAAAACCAAGGCCAAAAATTGTTAATGATGAAATAAACAGACATATGGACAGAAAAGTGCCATGATATTTCCACGGTGACAGCTAAATGATGACAAATCACAAACACAAATGTTTGCAAGTCACCAAGTCACATCATCATATTATGGCAAAGTATAATCCCGTTTTTCAGCATGTTTTTTTGTGTGATCCTCTGCATTTTTTAGAAACTTCTTCTTATCTTTGGTCAACTCCTCTGCTAGATCAGCTCTGAGTGGATGTTCAGGTTCTGGTTCATCGATTAATGCAACTAGTGACTCGATCACTGAAACACAAGAACCACATTAACTAAAGCTAGTACATAATATGTCATATACCAACGTACATGCATAGATTTTTTAATTTGATTTTAATTCAAGCATGGGCTTCATGGATACCGGATACCCAAACTCCTTGAATATCTACAAAGTTTGAAGACGATTCATGAAACAGTGGCCGAGATATGTTGCAGTTACCCGTATTGTGCTGTATTTTAGCACTTAAAGTCAAGGTCAAAGGTCAGAGTGACAGCGTTTTGCGACAAGGTTAATTCTAGACCACAGTGACATCAATTTAAGATGCAGCATACCTCTTTTCCCTGATGCATATGTTTGATGCCCATTCATGAAACAACAGCTGAAATATGCTCTGGAAACCATTCTTTTAGTTCTTTAGGTCAAGGTCAAAATGTGATCACAGTGATTTCATTTTAGGCTGCTTTCCCAGGATGTATATATATCAAAGTTTGAGGCCCATCCATAGAACAGTGGCTGAGATAAGCTCCAGAGACCAGTCAGCTAACATGGACACATGTAAAACATGTGAAATATATTATTTACTCACCGAGAGAACGTATCTTAAACCAAACATGATTTAGTGACTTGGTCTTTTGACCATTATGTCTTTGAAATTATCCTTTAGGCCTTAAACTATACAGGTATATTACATCCAGTTGCATGTCAAAGTATATTTACATTTCCTTTATGCAGTCCTTAGATAAACCTAACAACCAAAAATGTTGTTATAATCCAATAACAGCAAAAACATTGCAATATCAGGTTTTCCAATCGGAAACTGTTTGAGTCTTTCCGAGATATTTTCCAAAATGCACTACAACACATCATGGAATATGTTATAACAGAACAGTGCTGCATACCATCATAAATGTGAACAAGAGATCCCATAGGGATCTTGGCGCCCACCATTGTACCATGCATCTTCATTGATTCTTTGTCAATTAGATCTTTTCTCTTGTCTGTTTGATCGTGTCATGTTAACAGTAAATGCATCTTGAGGTAACTTTTGATCTAAACTTAATACTGCTGTTTATAAAGACTATCTTCAAGGTGAATTTTCATTTTACATATTTAGTTAGTACTTAATGTGAAAGAAATAGAACTGGTCATTACAATATGAGAAAGAACATTAAGATCTTCCTTCGGCCATCTTGTTTTATGATCACTCTCAAAATAAATGTGCACAACTAAAACACCAAGGAAAACCTACATATCAAATCTGAGAAAATCCCTCAACTACTTCCTGAGAAATAGCAATAACAAACATTTACTGTCGCAATCCAAGATGGCTGTCTGGCAGCCATTTTGTTCATGCACAACTACAGATCAAGGGAAGCCTTCATATCAAATTTAAGATTCCTCTAGTACTTCCTGAGGAATAACGATAACAAACATTCATTGTCAAAATCCAAGACTGCTGCATGTCTGCCATTTTGTGTATCTCAACAAGAGACCAAGGGGAACCTACATATCAAATTTAAGTAATTTATACATATAAGATCTCTCAAGTACTTTCTGAGGAATAGCAATAACAAACAATCACTGTCAAAATTCAAGATGAATGCCTGTAGGCCATTTTGTTTATCCAATCAGTCTGAAAAGTAAACAGACACAAACTAGGGATCCCTTTCATTTCCGAGAAATAGCGATAACAAGAATTGTGTAAGGACGGACAACGGACAACTGAGGGATGATTTGAATATCACACCATCTGATGCTAAAAAGACGCATTTCACTCCTTAAACAAGAGGCCAAGAGGGCCTGTATCGCTCACCTGGATATCTAAGCAATCACAGCAAAATATTCTCCAAATGAGATCCAGGGGAATATGCCAGACCCCAAGGCCAATCCTTGTAGCATATCTGTATTAGATTTTTTCATGCCCAGCAGTTTTATGAATGGTTAAGGGGTGGGGATTTCAACTGCTTCCAAGCTGTGACTCAGAAACTAGGTCCCTAGGGTTGTGACCAGACCCCAGAATCAATTCTTATATCATGACTGTATTTGTCTCTTTTTGCCCAGCATTTTTATTCATAGTTTTGGGGTTGGGATCTCAACCGTTTCAAAGTTATGACTCAGGGGTTAAGTCTGCAAGGGTGGGGCAGGCCCTGGGGTCATTTATAATATCATGACTGCATTCGTCTCTTTAGCCTAACAATTGTATATATAGTTTTGGCGTGGGGATCTCAACCATTTCGAAGTTATGACCCAGGGATTAAGTCTCCAAAGGTGGGGCAGACCCCAAGGCCATCCTGGAAGCATATGTGCATGCATCTCTTTATACTCAGCAATTGTATACATGGTTATAGGGTGTGGATCTCAATTATTTCCAAGCTGTGACTAAGAAACTAGGTCCCTAGGCGTTCGGTCAGACCCCAGGGTCCATTCTAATGTCATGACTGTATTCGTCTCTTTATACCCAGCATTTGTATTTATAGTTTTGGGGTGGGGATCTCAACCGTTTCAAAGTAATGACCCAGGGACTATGCCTCCAAGGGTGGGGCCAGACCCTAGAGCCATCCTGGAAGCAAATGTTCATTCTTTTCTTTATACTGATCAGCAATTGTATATATGGTTATACAGTGGGGATCTCAACCATTTCAAAGAAATAAACCTTTTCAGCCCCGCCATTTGTACAATTTTGAATCCCTGCCACCCATAAATACTTCCCACCAAATATGATCGATATCCATGGCATAGTTCTACAGAAGAAGTCGTTTATAGCAATATAGCCAAATTGCCCCCTTTTGGCCCGCCCCTCAGCCCCCTGGGGGGTCTGCCCCGCCATTTGTACAATTTTAAATCTCCACAACCTAGGGATGCTTCCAGTCAAAAATGGCTGATATCCATCCCTTAGTTCCAGAGAAGAAGTCGCTTAAAGCAATATAGCCAAATTGCCTCCACCTCTCAGCCCCCTGGGGAGTCAGCCACACCATTTGTACAATTTTGAATCTCTACTACCTAGGAATGTTTCCAGTCAAATTTAGTTATTTTCTAATCAGTGGTTAAGAAGAAGAAGTCGTTTAAAGACTAAGTCGTTGTTGACGTACAGATGGACGCCACGGTATGGCATAATTATAAGCTCACCTTAGTCCTTCGGACCCGGTGAGCTAATAAACATATATACCTGTATATATACAGCTGTCATACCATCAGCCCTGACATGTTTAGTTCCTTGTCTATACTTACCTTTAATACAAACTATATATATATATCGCACCACTGGACCTACCTTGTTCAGTCTTTGTTGCTGGTTTCCAGTTATCTGCACTGATGATCGGTAAACAGACTTGCCCCTTTTCATCAACATTTGGATGGTAGATTTTTGTCTTAAATGTAATTTTAGGGGGTTTGAACGGATATTCTGCTGGAAACAATATTTCTATCTTAAACGCTCCTTTGTTGTATGGACTTTTTTGCTGAAAAATATGAGTAAAATTTGATAGTCGTGTAAATTAAACAGTAAATTAATGTTCCATCAAATCTCAAAAGTAAACACACAATTAAGGACCAACGATAACATGGAACAAAATTGAGAACGATCTTTCCAATATTAATTATTTCCTGAGAAATAACGAAAATGAACTTTCACTGTCAAATATCCAAGATAGCCCCTTATCTGCCATCTTATTTATGCAAACCATCTCCAAATTGGACATGTTAACTAAGAGACTAACAGGAACCTACATATGAGATTTGAGAAAGATCCTCTGAGTACTTCCTCAGAAAAATAAGAGGCCCAAGTGCCTTAGCGGTCACCTGAGTTATATCATAGGTACTGGTAGTTTTATTTTATTGTTTAGATGTGATGTGGAAATCAGCATGTAAACTAAGTGAAATACAATACTTGTCATGTCATCAAAGGATAAGAATTTTAAAATATTGGTAAATGTTCCCTTTGGGACCCCACCCTAGGCCCTGGGGATGGGGCAGGAATTCCAATTTTACAATGTAATACCCTCATCCACCAAAGATGATTCTGACCAAGTTTGAATAATTTCCTGCTGAAAATGGATTAAATATACCCAAAAGTGTTATTTCCCTATATAAACTATAGTAAACTTTACCCCCTTCCCAAGGGAGAAAGGATAGCTTGGGGGTCCTGAAATTTACAATTTAAATAAAGCCCCTGATGATCTTTCCATCCATGTAGAGAAAATGACTGTAGTACCGGTACCTCGGAGTCTGGAGAAGAAGATTTTTGAAATATTGGTTAATTTTCCCTTTGGGGCACCACCCTGGCCCCATGGGTCGGGGTAGGAATCTCAATTTTACAATTTTGTAGTCTCATCTACCAAGGATGATTCTGACCAAGTTTGAAAAAATTCCATCCACTGGTCCATGAGAAGAAGTTGAAAATGTAAAAAGTTTATGCACAACGGGCGGAAAGTGATTGGAATAGGTCACTTGAGCAGAGCTCAGGTGACCTAAAAACGATAACAAACATTTACTGTCAAAATCAAAGATGGTCATGGCCACCTGTCGAGGAAGATCCATGAAATTTTAAGGGTCTAAACATTTACACATGTCTTTTAAAACCAAAGCATCAAATTTCATTTTTGGAATAAACATACCTTAAGGGTGTAATGAAGGCTTTGTGTTCTAAAACAACTTACCGGAAGTATAAGTCCTGACCAGTTTAATATATTGGACTCATCTGCTATTATAATTTTGAAAACACCTGCGGTTTCTTTGTTTTTTATATCTTGTAATTCCTGAAAAAGAAAACACAAAAATCAATCAGTTCTACTAATATTTCAAGGAATATATAACAAGGTGATAAAATATGCCTGGAGTGTACCACGATATACAGTAATACACTAAGTATATGTAACAGAGGTCATTATTTTTTCAATGCCTCCGCTAGGAGTCAAACCCGGGACCCCTGGTTAACTAGCCTTACACTCTACCGAATGAGCTAAAGAGAAATTCTCCCTAGTATTTTTACCAGAGTGACATACTCCCTCCCCCTCAAGGAAAGAACTCTCCTGAGTTTTACAGGGTTATAGCCATTCTTGTGAACGTATCGCTGAGTATATTTGTCGATATTACCCCGGTCCCAATGTAGGCGCGCCAATATATAATATATTTAGTATGTTACATGTCCCGATACATATTTTTATATTAGGAAAACCATGTACAGTTTAAGGAGAAATTGTTTTCAGAAGGTTATATTATCAAACTGCGTTATCCATCATATGGATTACACAAATTTACGATTTTTTGCTCAACCGAAGATTGTGACATTAAAGCTGCTTCCCACCACTTTGCATGGTTATTGTATGTCATATTTGTTAGAATACATGTATGTAGTAACTTGTGAAGCTGAAACACCTATAGCTACAATGTAGCTGGCATATAACATATATACATAAAAAAAAATGAAAAAATATTGTAAAGTACACCAATCTTTCAACTTTTGTAATACGATACAATATGCCTGTGTATTGCAATATACCATTTTTTCCTATATATTCTGAAAGCCCTAAAAGATGACGTCATTTCTGGACAGTTTGTAAAAAATAAGATTCAATTCATTTCATTGCACTTTTTTCTATATATGCATATGCCAAGAAATGACAGTGCAGACCAATTCTATAGGAGTTCAAAACAAGAGGCCCAGAGGGCCTGTATCGTTCACCTGAATGTTTTTAAAATAATTGGTATGAAGTAAAGATATAGCACTTAATGGTAGGTGCTGCAAGTACATATGAAATTTCAGAAAGATCCATCCAGTACTTGAGATACAGCGAGAACAAACTTCAAACAGAGCCCCACCCCTAGGGGGGTCATACCCACTGTTTATACAAAATTAAGTCCCCTTGGCCAAAAGATGCTCCAGACTAAATAAGGATAAAATACCTTAATCCCGATGGTCGAAGAAGGATTTTAAAGGTTTTACCTCTATTTCCCCTATAGGACCCCGCCTCTCGGCCTCCAGGGAGGTTAGACACACAGTTTATACAATATTGGGTCCCCTTCACCCGAAGATGCTTCATACCAAATTTGGACAAAATCCTGCCATTTGTACAGAAGAAGAAGGTATTTGAAGAATTTGCTATGTTTCCCCTATTGGGCCCCTCCTTTCTGCCCCCAGGGGGGGCCACACTCATTGTTTTTACGAAATCGAGTCCCTTTTGCCCAAGGATGCTCCAGACTAATTTAGGATAAAATCTCTTAATCCCTATGGTAGAAGAAGGATTATAAAGGTTTTACTTCTATTTCCCCAATTGGGCCCCACCCCTCAGGTCCCACCGTTTATACAAAATTGGTTCCCCTTTACCCAAGGATGCTCCACACCAAATATGGACCAAATCCTTTCATTCCTACAGAATAAGAAGGATTTTAAAGAATAATTTGCTGTTTCCCCTATTGGGCCCCGCCCCTCAGGCCCCTGGGGGGGCGAGACCCACGGTTTATACAAAATTGAGTCCCCTTGGCCCAATGATGCTTCAGACCAAATATGGAACAAATCCTTTCATTCCTACTAAAGAAAAAGGATATTAAAGAATTTGCTATATTTCCCCTATTGGGCCCTGTCCCTCAGCCCCCAGGGGGCCACACCCACCGTTTATACAAAATTGATTCCCCTTCACCCAAGGATGCTTCACACCAAATATGGACCTGACTATTTCATTCCTACAGAAGAAGAAGGATTTTAAAAAATAATTTGCTATGTTTCCTCTATTGGGCCTCACCCCTCAGGCCCCTGGGGGGCCAGACCCACGGTTTATACAAAATTGGTTCCCCTTCACGCAAGGATGCTTCATACCAAATATGGAACAAATCCTTTCATTCCTACAGAAGAAGAAAGATTTTAAAGAATTTGCTATGTTTCCCTATTGGACTCAGCCCCCAGGGGGACTACACCCACCGTTTATACAAAATAGAGTCCCTTGGCCCAAGGATGCTCCAGACTAAATAAGGATAAAATCCCTTAATCCCTACGGTTGAAGAAGGATTTTAAGGTTTTACCTCTATTTCCCCTATTGGGCCCCGCCCCTCTGCCCCCAAGGGGGCCACACCCACCATTTATACAATATTGAGTCCACTTGGCCTAAGGATGCTCTATACCAAATTTAGTCAAAATCTACCTGGCCGTTCAGGACTAGTAGCGTTTTAAAGGAAAAGTTGACGGACGGACGACGGACGCTGCGGTATGGCATGAGCTCAACATGTCCTTCGGACCAGGTGAGCTAAAAAGTATGTACTGGTAGATGGCAGGAGTGGGCCACAAATGGCCATGCACTAGCTGCAGATAGCTCAATCTGGTTAGAGCATCCTTGTAGAGTTCAGAGGTTATGGAATCAAATCCTGGTCTGCCCCTAGGTTCTTAGTTGAATGGTGAATTATATATTTAAAGGTTATGGGAAGAATTTTAAAATTTGACCAGATGGTCTTTTTGAATGCTATATTTTGAAGAGAGTAATTTTCTAACACAAACTAAATTCTATCGATCATGAAAACTTTCTTCTTTTCATCTAACCCTTCTCTGACATTAATTTTCAAATTGTTGAAGTTAATCAGTATCCTGTAGAAGAGTAAAGAATTCTCTCTCTGGAATTTGATTGGCTTTTTTTAAGATTTTCAGCATATCTGTATGGAATACACTGCTAGATCCCAATTAAGGAAATATTGCAGCGGGTGAGAGAGCACAGATGTAATTAATCTCACGATTCGAGGACTGATGTAATAAACGCCTCGATAGTGTCACAAAGGTGGTTCCAGTCTATCTATCTAAATATTCTGCAACATCCTCTTCCGAGTATTATGTGCAGCGTGTGGTTGTTCTAACTAGGAACAAGTTCCTGTACTGTTAAGAACTACTTGATATAACGATGAAACCTCTGTTGTTTAAACGGGCTGAACGGTCAACAATGTTGGTGGTATCAAAGTCAGTATATGATTTGGCACAGATGTTCCTGCCTTGTTTGCGTAGATGTACCTTACTAGCCACAGGCTCATGTCAGTTTATATTTTCTTGTCATTAGGGGTGTTTTTGCCACAGGTATCCTTATTCATTTGTAAAAGGAACATTAAACAATACTTAATATTTTCCCCGGTATTTTATTAAGGCGAGAGGTTAATCCGGAAGTGCCATTCCATTCTCGGTTTCAGTGTGCTTTGTTGCAGCAATCTTAAATCTAACTGACCGAACAAGACCAGCCAAGTATTAACAATGTACTTGAAAAGTTGTCATCTAATTTCGGCCAAATCTATGTGTATAAATACGCGAGGATGTATTTCAGTATATTTTAATAAAAAGCGGCCAGCCGCCAAGTAACGATGTTCACGAAATTAGATTAAGCCCCATTTTATAGTTCGGGGAAACCGGACCTGGTTAAAAGCAATGTATGTGGTATACGATATCATTGTATGCGATGTGTTCTATCCTTTTCTCTATCAATTTTCTTACTTCTTTTTTGTCCATAGACAATATTTTGCAGATGAATTCGAGTCTTACGTTTCAGGAAAAAACCGATACTTTTGTTTTCTATTTGTAGCCATAGCATTATAACGTTAGTGGCAAGTCGCTCCTTCGATATCCTCAACATTGAACTCGAAAGTACCATAAAATTGCACGTGGAAAAATCTCTAAATGAACGGAGTCGACGGGAAGAAGGAAAAGACTAACATCAGTTTATAAAATACAGAATTCTTTTTTTGTTTTAAGTAGGAATATTATTTTTTGTGTTTACCTTCCCAAGTCTCCTGGTCGCAGCCATCTTATTTTTCTTAGGTCACGTGACTGTAATTGTTCCGTGAGGAGTTATCGCCCATAGGTAACTCGGGAATTTCAATGAATAATTCACAATGTGGTGCAGACTGACGATTGTTACACGTATACGCGGTAATTGCGAGAGAAATTATGTATTATACTGGTTGAAGGGTACACAATCGTTAAATTTATAAGTTTGCATCATTGAACCAATTCTTTTTTCAGTCATTATAAATTAATTATTTTTTTAATTGTATTAATTTTCTTATATCAAACTGTTAATTAATGTTTATTTAAAATATGTATTTCATATTAACTTTTCATGTTTGGACAGCTTGATTCTATTTACAACGGAAATAAGCCTGATAGACATAAAAAAAAAATTACAAAAACAAATGTCCAGTCTTAACAGACCAGTTAAAGGGGCATCACGGTTAATTTTTTTTAAATACTACATAAACATATCAAGTGAGACTCATTGTGGAAAATAACGATCGGATTTGACTGAAATAGATTTAAAGCAATGATTAAATCTAATGATTGATTGATTGATAGGTTTTACGTCCGCTTCACTACCGAATAGTTCGGTTATCCAGCAGACGAAGAACAGAAAGGAAAATGAGTAGAAGGGATAAAGAATGGAGTAAAGAGTAGAGGAGGGGGATAGGTTAGAGAAGTAGCCGTCTATCCTATATATATTAACTGTATAAGTCTAGTTTTTGTAAGATGGCTCCTATGCCTAATAATGCCTTAATCTAACACTTGTCGTACAGCATCACCAAGTCTGGACCGGAAGTGAGGTACTGTGCCGCCGCCAGCCACACCAGCACCTGCCTATTCTATGAATTTGGCTTGTATATAAAATTTGGAAGTCCTTCTAAATGTCTTAATAAAGAGACCCTTGTTCTAACGGCCTAAAATTTTGAATAAAGCTATCACTATCCTCTGTGTGGGCGTTTACGCGCCTACTCTTTTTGGAAAAACACAGAGGGATTGTTTTCGTGCGAGATTGGACAGTTCTCACACGGGCCACCATTTATAGTCCCATCCGACGGACTGTATGTTAATTATAATGGTTAGTGTCTAGTATGTGCCTTGTTTTTGTTGTCCGTTCAATGTATTCCTCTTTTCATCATTCGTCACTGAGAATATACCTGACTGTACTTGTACCAATATCATCTTTCTTAAAAACCTCGACTTGTCTTTCACTTAGTTCTGCTCATCGTTCCGACATTTATGGGTTTTTTTTAGTGTATAGTGTGATTATTAGTATGGGGAAAGAAGAAAAAACGAAGAAGGTGGGTGATTAGTGTTATAGTTTGGTTACAACATGGATGGGAGCTGGAGGGGTTGGAGGTTGAAAGAAGTGCTGGGTGTCAAACTATTGAGAAATGTGCAGATGGATTTATGGGCTTTATCAAATGCTAGTTGTATGGACCGCGGAGTGGTGTTGGGGATGATTTGTGGGAGGGGGGAGGGGTAGGTTGTGGGAGGTTACTAAGTGGTTGTTGTGTTTACTTTTATGTGTATGTGCTCATGTCTACATACGTTGTGTATATATTATGTTTTATTTTGTTATAACATCGCTGTGTTATATGTTTCATAGAAATAGGAATATTATGTAATTATGAGTATACAAGCAGATAGAATAAAACCGAAGGTATACGACCAGGCCTCCCCCGGAGGCGCAACCGCCAAATAGATGCTTTTTGCCGATTTCATCGATCTATCTTGTTTCCTATAGCAGATATACTTATTTAACATGATTTAGTTTTATTTATGTGAAGAGTGGATTGATTGGTTTTTAACTGTATATGGGGGTGGGGCACAGAGGAGGAGACCCCCGACCTCCTGGAGTCTCAGTATATACCAATGTATGGGCGGACGAGTAGCAGTCCACCCTGGTATAGCCTCCCTGGGTATCCTTGGGACTTACAGGTTTTTTGGTTATGAACGGTTTTTACTGCGTTTTGTTTCTAATGTAATTGATTGGATAGAATGTTATTGTTACCCTATTAGCTGTGTCAGATAAACAAATATTGATTATTAGTTCAGTATTCACTTATCCCGTGATTTCTACCTAACTAATAGGTCCATATAGAACCGTCGGCCTCCCTCCTTCACCCGCGCTAACCTTGTAGGGTTTTACGCCGAATGAGCGAGAGGACCTATTTTAAGAGTTGTATTATACAGTTTATAGTGGTAATACATTTCTATCCTAATTTATATCCACCGTTTAAGCTTTGTACAGTCTAAAAACGGCGAACTGCTTCAGATTGTACATCGCCCCCCGACGGTACATATATATGTATTCATTTGTATGTGTTCATGTATACATATATATATAATATTATTAAATCAAAGATAATCATCGGTACTTCTACCTGTCTGACCAACGTTTTGTTCAGGGATTTCCCTCTACTAGCCCATGCGCATACCACACCATTTCTTTGTAAACAAAATGACTGGCCGTGAACGAAAGCGAACGAAAAGTGTTGACCCGTGTCAGCTACGAAGCGAAAAGTTGCCAAACGGTAAAAAGATACCGCAAGGAGTACGTTACGGAATCATTATTGCAGGTGGGAAGTATTCAAAGGAGAAAATAACTGCCCTAGCAGTTAGTACGGTGCATGTATTCTTCCGGATAGCCGGTTTAGCTGAAATGGAATCGACAGAAATGCTAGCGCTGTTTATGTTATGAATAAATATCTAAAACTATTAACCTCGCTAGTATCTATGTCTGAGTTTGAACACAGATGAACTTAGTTTAATATGTTAATGGACATTTATCGGAGAGAGTTTACTTTGTGCTTCTGCGAAAGGAAGGGATAAGCGACTGGTTAAAGTAGTAGTAGTAGTAGTAGTAATTCCCTCCTCTTGTAGGAGAACCAGCTCGTGAGGCTGTATGTTGATTCTGAAGCCAGATACACTATATTTGACTGGCGGTTTGAAGCTGCATAGCTGAAGCGGGAGACATATGTATGTACCCTATACAAGTCTGTATTGCAATATTTGCTGAGTAGTATATGGGAAAGTAGAGCTTAATCAATGATCTTTGTGGACTAAGTTTGGGTGAACTTATAATGTGAGGAGAAAGAGAGAGACAGTTTAAACAACCTATATCTCAGTTATTATGTACAGGGTTAATTAGATCTAACTACCAGTATATGTACCTATGTGCATCGAGTGAATGGAGATATGTATATACAGGAATTTAGCCAACTATATGGTCGCAGTTTTTAATGATTTCTTGATGTATGAGCGGTATGTACCGACTTCTGACAGGTTCCAGTGCTCGGCATATAAGTACAAAGTGTCGGCTATCCTCACTACTGGCTTGGCACATGAGACATAATGGCTTGCAGTTTTTGAGGTATTTCGCTCTGGTGCTTTGAAGCGTGTATGACCCAGCAAGAAGCTTTGCTTTGATGGTGGCTTTCCTCACTGCCAGGGTGTCCATGGGCACCGAATCAAAAACATTGTGAACTGATGCAATGTGCACGGTGTTATGGTGTAGGTATGACAGCAAGGATTTGCCTTGGCGTAGGTGTTCCACATGCTTTTTCCAGAAGACATTGATGGCAGTTTTGACGAGGTTTCGCCACTTTCCCTCTGTATAGGCGGTGTCCAACAGATGGAGGGCTGACGGGAGTCCATACCTTTCTGTCAGTTGTTGTATATGTATAACAACTGCTTGATGTTGAGCTTTTGATACTCAGTTGTCTTCGGGCGATTTTCCTCTCAGGGGGAGTCTGTTCTAATTACATTACCGAAGAGCATTAGGGCTTGCTTGTTTAGATAGGCCTCAACTGGGAGTTCTCCAGATAGGATGTATACTGCAGTATAGAGTCGGCGGTAGATGACGGTAGTCCCATGATATGCTTTAGGGCTTGTTTATGGTAGCGGTTGATGTTGGACATGTCCTTTTTGCTCAGGATGGCCGCTTCGAGCCCATACAGCATCCTTGGCCTTACATAAGTATTCCACAGTTGAATTATAACCTTGGGGTTCACTCCACTGTACCCGTGTAAGCCGGCTCCCATTAGTGAATAGGCTGTCCTCCTGGCGAGCTGGACCCTTTCTTCTGAGATGTTCATAACAGAATTTTTACTAGATGATGACCTGTTTATCCCCCGGTGTTTATATTTTGATACTACTTCTAGACTCTTGTTGATGAGGTCCAGGCTGACTTGGTCCACTTCAAGGAGTTTCGGACGATTGAAGACCATGATCTTGCTTTTAGTGGCACTAAGAGAGTATCGTTCTTTTGACGCAAAGTGTCCTTGAAGATGGAGCATCACTTGTAGCTCACATGGATCCTTTGACAGCAGAACTATGTCGTCTGCACAAGTAGGGCTGCTTACATGTGTCGTCCCTATTTTAAGGCCCAGATCTTATTTCTCCAGGAGGTCCAGGAATGGGTTTATGAACATCTTGTATGCTGTTGGCGACCAGCATCCACGCTGACGGACTCTTTGCTGTTCTGAGAAGCATTCTGAGATGCTGCATTGCCATTTGACGCAGGATTTAGGGTTGTTGTACCACTCTTTCATAAGAAGCCAGTCAGTAGACTGGAGGCCGTATTGGTGGAGACGTCGCAACATAGAATTGTGTCATACTACATCAAAGGCCTTAGAGGCATCGAGGAAGGCTGCGTAGAGGGTACTGCCTGTGTCCGTACACTCCGCAATGCATTCCGTCAGTAGTAGTGCCGCATTAGTGGGAGACGTTCCTTTAGTGAAGCCCTTTTGCATTTTATTGAGGTGGCCTTCTATGACATTGCTGTTCCTTTGCAGATGTAATTTTTCAAAGGTTTTTCTGATGATGCTGGAGATAGTGATCCTGCGGTATGAGTTTGGGTCATCTATTGGTTTGCCCTGCTTCTTGTAAATAGGGGTGATTATTCCTGACTTGAAGGTTTCTGGGATTGTTTGGTCGTTGGGAATTTGGTGAACAGTTCCGTCAGGACGGTGTGGAGACTAGTACCAGCATACTTGAGATGTTCTG